AAGTCCACCTGTACACACTTGTTGTATGAAGTTGAAATAAAAATAAAAAAAAAATAAAAATGGCGGATGAAAAAATTGCCAGCTTAGTGCTGCCACTTAAATGTCAAATGTTTCGGATGCGTTCACATTTAAATGAAATGTTGCACCGATTTGATGATATTAACCGACAAAACATTTGAGAGAATTGGGGCATATTTAACACCATAGGAGCAAAGTAGGAACATTTTACGGTAACTAATATCACAATCAAATTACAATCACAGTATTTTAATCAACCTACTATTTATGAGAAAGTAGTATTTTAACAATTAAATCTCCAAAAAATCAACATTTTTAAACTTATCATTAATATAGACACATTAATATCATTAATAAACAAAAGGGCTGATTTGTTCCAGGCAATGGCCCAGTGATATAGTGCCATTCAACATTGCCGTTACAGAATCAAATATATATTTGTCATGAGCTATATCATCAGCACGCCGAGGTTTACCTTGGCGAGCTAAAGAAAGAACAGCGTCGTTTTTGATCACATTCAAAAAGCTAATGATGTTCAGCTTTCCCGAATATGTTCTGTTTAATTTAGCGTTACTGCCTTCCACTGGGTTATTTGTTCTGTAGATATCCCCCCAAAAATCCCATTTGCCTCGATAATATTCGTTGTCAAGCCATGCCGATACAAAATAGTCATTGTATTTCTCAATATTGAGAGTTTTCGGACAATCCTCCATTATAAAGGGTGATTTTTTAAGAGCTTGAGAACTTTTTTAAACAATAAAACGCATAAAATTTGCAAAATATCATCGGTTCTTTATTTTAAACGTTAGATTGGTACATGACATTTACTTTTTGAAGACAATTTCATTTAAATGTTGACCGCGGCTGCGTCTTAGGTGGTCCATTCGGAAAGTCCAATTTTGGGCAACTTTTTCGAGCATTTCGGCCGGAATAGCCCGAATTTCTTCGGAAATGTTGTCTTCCAAAGCTGGAATAGTTACTGGCTTATTTCTGTAGACTTTAGACTTGACGTAGCCCCACAAAAAATAGTCTAAAGGCGTCAAATCGCATGATCTTGGTGGCCAACTTACCGGTCCATTTCTTGAGATAAATTGTTCTCCGAAGTTTTCCCTCAAAATGGCCATAGAATCGCGAGCTGTGTGGCATGTAGCGCCATCTTGTTGAAACCACATGTCAACCAAGTTCAGTTCTTCCATTTTTGGCAACAAAAAGTTTGTTAGCATCGAACGATAGCGATCGCCATTCACTGTAACGTTGCGTCCAACAGCATCTTTGAAAAAATACGGTCCAATGATTCCACCAGCGTACAAACCACACCAAACAGTGCATTTTTCGGGATGCATGGGCAGTTCTTGAACGGCTTCTGGTTGCTCTTCACTCCAAATGCGGCAATTTTGCTTATTTACGTAGCCATTCAACCAGAAATGAGCCTCATCGCTGAACAAAATTTGTCGATAAAAAAGCGGATTTTCTGCCAACTTTTCTAGGGCCCATTCACTGAAAATTCGACGTTGTGGCAGATCGTTCAGCTTCAGTTCTTGCAGGAGCTGTATTTTATACGGTTTTACACCAAGATCTTTGCGTAAAATCTTCCATGTGGTCGAATAACACAAACCCAATTGCTGCGAACGGCGACGAATAGACATTTCACGGTCTTCAGCAACACTCTCAGAAACAGACGCAATATTCTGTTCTGTACGCACTGTACGCATTCGTGTGGTTGGTTTAATGTCCAATAAAGTAAACTGAGTGCGAAACTTGGTCACAATCGCATTAATTGTTTGCTCACTTGGTCGATTATGTAGACCATAAATCGGGCGTAAAGCGCGAAACACATTTCGAACCGAACACTGATTTTGGTAATAAAATTCAATGATTTGCAAGCGTTGCTCGTTAGTAAGTCTATTCATGATGAAATGTCAAAGCATACTGAGCAAATAATAATGCATGAAAATCATAACCTCAAAAAATCTGAGCAAATACTAATGCATGAAAATCCTAACCTCAAAAAAATCACCCATTATATAGCCATCCATCGCATTTAAGTTCAGGTGGTAGCAAAGCTAACGCTGTGCATAGAGCTATATGCTTTTTGAACATTCTCTTTTTATTTAACTTTAACGCCTTTGCTCTCTTCCAAAGTCTTCTTCTTCTTCTTATAGTGCCACTTCAATGTTGAAGGTCGGCCGTCAGCTTCTTGTATTTCTCCTAGTCGGTAGCCATGCAAAACAATTATTCAACAGATGTAATGCCGATCCACTCCCGGATGTTTCGCAGCCACGATTTTCTTCTGCGCCCAGCACGTCTCTTCCCCTCCACTTTGCCCATCATGATCAGTTGAAGCAGTGAATATCTATCGTGTCTAAGCACGTGACCGAGATATTCGATTTTTCGCTTTTTGATGGTCTGCATAATTTTCCGGGTCATTTGGACGCGATGTAGCACGGATTCGTTGCTGACCCTTTGTGTCCAGCTGATTCGGAGCATACGACGGTAACACCACATCTCGAATGCATTTATACGTCTCGTAGTGTCCTCCTTCACGGTCCATGCTTCACATCCGTACATGACTAGAGGCCAGATGTAGCAGAAGAGTAACCTAACTCTGAGCTTAATGTTTATTTGACGACAACACAGAACTTTCCTCATTTTGTTAAAAGATGCTCGGGCAATTTCTATCCGGGTCTTAATTTCTTGATCTGATTCCCATACTTCATTTACCCAAGCACCGAGATACTTGTATTGTCGTACTCGTTCGAGTGGTTTGCCATCTATGTTTATAATTGGGTCAAGATCAGGATTTTTGGAGACAACCATCAACTTGGTTTTACTGATGTTAATAGACAGACCGGCTTCCTCGCTTGTCTCTTCCAAAGTGCTTGACTAAAATGGAAGTAACAGTCTTTGCATATTACATCCGGAAAGATGTTACGGATTGCGTTCATGGCTGCTTTCTCATAATCAGTTCTGAATGTAATCGGATGCTATTCTGGAATTTGCGATTTGATAAGAGCAAACGCAGTCTCATATGTGAACTCTTTTTTGTCCATTAATAAGAAGTATATTAAGGGCACGACGTGAATTTTCTCACTTGTGCTGCCAAGGTCACCGTAAATCACATATAATTGTCTGAATGGTTTCACTACACACTTAAATGTACCATCTGCAAGGTAATGTTTCACGTGTTGATGAAGTCCTTTACTATTTACATCAGCGAAAGCTAATATCCTTGTTTTTCTGTACTCATAATCAAATAAAACAAAACTCATGTAACTTACTGGAATTTTTACTTCAAACGGCGTTTTAAATGTAGCTTTCTTTATTTGTTGGGCTTTGTTTCGAGCACTATACAAGCTGTTCTTAACATTCGATAATTCAGGTAATTTTTCTATCTTGTCAGTACCTTTGTCCAATAATTTTTTTATACTTGAATTGAAGACAGAAGGAATCGATTTTCCTTCAGAAGATTTTGCTTCTTGCTTGCAGCGATGTATTTCTTCTTTGATGTCATTTCTTGCTATGCTGGGCGTACAAATGTCATGACGAAGAATTTTCGTCACATTATTATTTGAAGTCACCATTCCTCCATGACACCTTCTGTTCACACATCTCCAGACGATTGAGCTATTTTTGTTCTCTCGCTTTTTCGTATATTCGTAACCGGCATACAAAATAATAGGCACACCTCTTTGTGATTCAATAAAGGTTATCTCTTGGGATGTAGAAGCCAGACTGCAGCCAGTCTGAAGATCAGCTCGGGATGATGAAGCCACTGGCTCCATGTTTCAGGATGAAGAAGCCACGGCTCTATATCTGATCACCTGCAAATACAACGTGAATTAGTTCTGTGCCTCCTGTAAAAAGGGGTACCAAGTCCAATATACCCTTTTCGTTTTTAAATGAATATAAGAGAGCAAAAAATTAGCTTTCATCTGTCTAAGGGGCAACGCAAATAGAAGACGGCGAGACGAAGGTACGGTACAGACACGGCGCAGATACGGTGCAGGCGCGATATCTGCGCAAACAGACGCGGGGACGATACGGCAAGTTAAGTCATTATAGAGCGTGATATTGACGGGATAAGACGTGTATTCCTCTTCAGACGAAGATGAAGATGCACTGGCTTTGCTACAGATTATTAATTTACAGCAAAGACCAAGAAGGTATTGGATACATCCAGTGTGGAGAAATGCAGAAGAGCACAGGTACTATAAAATAATGGAAACATTATATGAATATCCTGATCGTTTTCGCACAGTTTATAAAATGTCACTGGAATGTTACCATATCGTATTGTCAAAAGTAAGAGAAGGACTTCGGAAGCAAGTTACAAATTGGAGAAAACCAATCAGCCCTGAAGAAAGACTACTGATAACTTTAAGGTAAGTGAAACTATTTTTTACAGATCAAACTTGTATTAGCTCTGGATGTAAGAGTCTGCTGGGTTGCACCTTCATTAGGATCATAATCTGTCTCTCGAGAAGGTGTTCGTGGATAATACGGCTGTGTCCTAGGATAACTAGGTACTGGGTCATTTAAAATTTGCTCTGATAAATTGAGAACGCCCATTTTAAATCTTCGTTTTTGGGCTGGTGTCATTGATTTCATATCTGGAAGCATGCTTTGAAAAAAAGCTAGATCGCTGTCTGTTTCAGGCTCAGCTCTATGTATGGTCTTCATTTGTAATGCTCTTTGACTGAAATATTCATGTGCTGATTTATTAACATCTTTTAAAGAGATTGCCCTAGATGTTGCCCTAGATGTAGGCGGTGTTGGCGTGGATTGATTGGAGATGGAATCCGAATTTGTGTTTTCAGAAGCTAGTTGACCAGTAAACAGTGTCTCATCGACTTCTTCACTATCATTACCGTCTGTGCAATCATATTTGCTTAGATTGCTTTTGGTTGGTCGGGACTTCAAGTAATTGTCTAAAAAATGTAGATGTGGTGAAAGGTAGTACTCTTTAATCGTCTTTGCACCTGATCCAGATGGCAAATCTAGCCTTTTCTTGTTTTTGCTGTAACTACATCGAATATTCTTCCAACGTTCTTTACATTCTTGGGCTGAAAAATATTTAAGGAGATTAGTTACAATGTGTGTTTAGATTGAGGTGCCACTTTTCGCATCGTAAAGTGGCTAATGGAGTTATTTAGTAGTAGTTTAGAAAATTTTGTAGAACGGATATTGGATTTTGTATTAGAATACTTCAAAAGTTAAATGAATATAAAGGTGGCACCTCAATCTAACTGTTTGCATTGAGGTAAGGTACCGTCCCCGCGTCTGTTTGCGCAGATATCGCGCCTGCACCGTATCTGCGCCGTGTCTGTACCGTACCTTCGTCTCGCCGTCTTCCATTTGCGTTGCCCTTATCAGTGGTATCCGCGGCGTGAATGCTCGAAGCAAACAAGATCGGTTTATTATCGAACCATTTTGTAATAGCAATGGCTTTATCCTCTCGCACTAGGGCATCATAACTGCCTCGACCTCTGCGAGAAAGACATTTGTCGCTTTCGAGATCACTTCTCAGGTATCCTGGAATTCTATTTTTCATGATCGTTCTTGCACACTTAAAGCCTAAGTTCCTCGATAAGTTTAAAAGTTGTGAAGTATCGGTCACAATAGATGACATGTCCAGGCACCAAGGTTTCAGTTAATTTTAAAACTACATTTTCACACAAAGAATATTTAGCTTCAGACTCTTCAAATGTCGTACTCCCTTGGTAAACCAACATATCACATACCAACCCGTTGGGGTTGGCGAGAACAAACGCTTTTAAACCTGTTGGATGTGGTTTTCCCGGACAATATTGTCTAATTGCACAAGCACCGGTAAAAGGAATAATCATTTCATCGATCGATATCTTTTGATACCGTTCTTGCGCGCGACAGCCTTTTATTATTCGATCTAAAATATACCGAACTTTCCAAAGTTTATCCTTCTGTCTTTCTTCAGCAGTGACATCAAGATCATATACTAGCTTCAATGAGTTTCGCAGCTGAATGTATCTGTCGCGAGACATGGCCTCAGTTATAAGGGGAATAGCGTATTTGCGATTCCAGTACATCCTCAAATACGGGTAATTGATGCATGACATAAGCAAAGTTATACCCACATAAGTTTTGCACTCCTCAATAGATAACCTGAGAGGCCTACCAAATTTTTCAATAGCTGTCTGGTTAGATTTTTCCACTATAACTCGGTAAAGCTCCTCATCTAAGTATTCCTCCACATAAGCGTTTATAATTGAAGGATCTGTCATGGACGGTAAGTAAGACGGAGAGGTCAAACTTGGCAAAGGAACTTCAAATTTGCTTCGTTTCCAAGAAGCAACATCTTGTGGGCGACTTGGACCAAGTCTGCGAGTGCCACCACGCGTACGAACTCGAGCACCAGTTCGGCGTCTGCCCTGACCTTGACGACCAGCTGTAGTCCTGCCGATACCACTAGAACCAGCCCGACCCTCTGGTAAGCTGCTATCATCATCGCTGTCGCTCAAGTCTTCATCTTCCGATGATTGAGCTGTATCACTCCTATCATCGGTAGGCATTAAACACCCAACGAAATCTGCGTCGTCACCCGAGTTTTCAAACTCGGAGTTATTTAAGATTTCAGTGATATCGGTGACTTATAACGCTGAAAATAATAAATACCTATTATTAGTATTAACGCCGAAAGTACTATAAATACGATCAATTCCGTATACCTCAGTTATGAAGTCCGACCGAAAGTACTGTTAATAGGTTTAAATAATTTACGACGGTATAATTCCTTAATTATTTTATATTCTTCCTCAAAATTAAGTGAATTCCATAGAATGTTTAGTAACTATCATTTCAATAAAAAAACTAAACTAAAACAAGTAAAATTATAAAAAAAAACACAAATTTTACTTACCTCGTCGACCACGTGCTGCCATTGTTGTAAACTCCTGAGCACGCGTCGCAACAATGGCGGCCGCTCGGAAAGAAATTTCTATCGAAATCCAAGGACAAACTATCGCCATTGCTTTATTTTCATTGGTTAAAAGAAATCATATGACCAAAACTTTTTTAGCAGGAAAAAACAAACACTCGGGAATTGATGCTATAAAAAGGTCAGTCGGTCGTACTCGAAGCCCAAAGTTCAAAAACGTTTGGCCTTTACAGCAAGATTTATTTAATACTATTTATAGGACTCCAGGTGTCTAGAGGATATATATTTTTAATACATACTAATAACATACCAATCCAAAATAATATACATACCTACACATTATAAATAAATAATGTTAATAATTTAAATATTATTATATTGTCTAATCATCGGCTAATTCTTCTACACCCGACATCACACTGTTGTCTGTGTCGTCTTCGTCTGTTTCGCTGTCCGATGAGCTGTCTTCTCCTCCAAGTGATATTACGAATTGTCTCACTTGATCTTCTTGGAGACGATCTTTCTCCCAGAAATCGTTTTTTAATCTCTGCACATAATTGATCTCTTTCTTCCAGTCTTCCACTGTTATTGATTGTATGGCTTCTTTCGTTAATTTCTCTATTTGTCTTTCAGACTGGTCAATGTTTTTGTCTGCCACCCTTTGTTTGACCAGATTCCAAATATATTCGATTGGATTTAAATCGCAGTGGTAGGGTGGCAGACGTACGACTTCGTGCCCATGTTCTTTAAACAACTCGTCCACAATATATTTTTTTTCTGGCTTGTTTGCTTTGATCAGTTGATATGCTCGGGTTTCGCCATTTTTTGATTAAAGCTTATGTTCTGACTGGTAAGCCAATTTTGCATCTCGCTCTTCAATGCAGTTTGGTATGGGACTTTTTCTGCCTGTGTCGAGTGGTATGGTGCGTTGTCTATTACAACTATGCCGTTTGGAGGCAAGTTGGGCAATAATTTTTCATTAAGCCACTTAACAAAATTGTTCGTATCCATTTCATCATGGTAATCACATGTAAGTAAGTAAGTAACACTTTATTTCATACACATAAAAATGTTTACTTAAGAACCTATGGCTAAATGTGCGCAAAGGCGGCCTTACCTGTCTTACTTTTACATTTGTAGAGTAACTCTGCGCCAGGGACAAAGCCATTTTCGCCACCCGCATGCACGAGAATCCAGCGTTGACCAGGATTTGTATTTTTCATTACACTGGCATCAGAACTGTTCTGCCAGCACTTTCTCACAGTGTAGTGGAAATGAATCCATGTCTCGTCCAAATACGTGACTGGTTTCTTGTCTGCTCCAAGTTCGTGGTTTTCCTTCATACGCCGCAAGTATCTAGCCCTCCAAGCTGCAATATCGGGTTTTTGGATTAAAACCGATCGGGCATTTTTGCATTTTTTGAACTTGTACCCCAATTCGTTTTTTAAAATGAGTCGCAATGTAGTTCTTCCACCTAAAAAAAAACAAAAATACATATAAAAAAATTTACTCGTGTTGGTTTAACTGGAGGGCAAGTATATTATACAACGTTATTTTTTGTTTGTGCGAAACCTGAATATAGTTTGTTCAGAATCAGTAACTGAATCGATTCCAATAGTTTTTACACCATGTTATATTTTTTCCCAAAATTATCTAAAAAACTTTGAATGTTGGACACCACAAATAGGCATTTATTCTCGCACAACAAAGGTCTCGGCGAGTTCATAGCGGGCGCGAGCGCACAGTGCTATCGATTATGTATTTTTACGGACAGTCCCGTAACTTAACAAGCTTATAACTTTGTTGTTTTTCATGATGCGGTTTTGAAATTTTGTACATAGATTCTTTACATAAAAATGCTAGATAGGTGTATCAAGTTTCGCATAAACAAAAAATAACGTTGTATACAGGGTGTTTGGCAGAACGTTGAACATACGAAAATGGTGGATAGTTGGGGTCATCTGCTACTTAGTCAGCCCTAATTTATTTGGCCCTGGCCCACTGGATATTTTTAATTATTTTTTTTTACCTTTTTTCTTGTTTCACCACTTTCTTAACTTTAAAGTGTAATTTTTATTAAAAGTGGATGAAACAGGCAATATTTTGTTTTTTTTTAAATCTTTTATGTTGGCAGATTCTTATAAAATTATTGCTTTATTCAGATGTTAGCTAGAAAAAAAGTTATGAGTCCTCAAACTTACAGAAAGATGTAAAAAATTACTTAAATCTTAATTTCAACTTGCATTTAAAAAAAAAACAAAAAATGATTGAGGAGTTCCAATTCTAGCAAAACATACCTAGTAGACCTGTGTCGATCGATCATTTGTCGTAACCCGGGTCGATCATGACCCACTCGTATGATGATCGGGTTAAAAAGATTCGATCATTCGGGTCGCAGTTCGTTTATTTATAATAGGTAACCGATTGACGTATGCTGAAATGAAACTAGCTATTAAACGTTAAAACGATATCTATTATAGCTCTTTGAATTCCTCATGAATAAATCTTATTATATAAACCATTCAATAAACAATAAAACTGACTTTATGTCACAATGGTATGATATGTTTTCACTTTTGATATTTTCTCTCACATAACCTTAAAACTTTATTACACAAAATATAAACTTTATAACAAAAATACAGCTTAGAAACTCTTTGTTTACTTAAGTAAACAAAAAGTTTCTAAGGTGTATTTTATTTTAGCCGCGGAGTTTTTTCGTTGTTTAGACAACGAAAAAACTTCGCAGCTATTAGGCCGGGACTCCACCAAAGCGGAGATGTGTGCGGTGTGCTGTGCGAGAAGAGATGTTTTTCAGCTCGCGGGACTCCACCAAAGCGGAGATGTGTGCGGTGTGCTGTGTGCTGTGCGAGAAGAGATGTTTTTCAGCTCGGGTGCGAGGCGTTGAGTGCTCAGTACGCATTCTGACACGAAAGGTAGACGATGTCGCTATTATTACAAAAAAAGTATCTTCTTTTACTTGAAGAAGAACTACAGTCTGAAGAAGCAGAATTGATAGCTTTATACTACCTAAACAAAAGAAAACATCGGTTTTGGAAAAGAAGTCACTTGTATTACCATACCAGTCATGGAGAATTTTTTACTCTGTTTATACTGTCAACCACCAAGCGGTCACCGGTGACCGCAACCTATTGTTCTATAATTGTGTCTATAATGACGGTACTCGACGAGTTAATGAGTTAGATGATGAAAGTTTTACCAAGTCCTACAGACTACCGAGGAATATATTCTATGAACTACATAACTTAATTAAACCGCATATATTTAAGCAAGATACTAACTACAGGAGATCTATCTGCACCCAAGAGCGGCTAGCAGTATGTTTGAAGTAAGTACCTACCTAATTATTTTTTTGTTAATGTGTGTTTGTGTTTATGTGTGTTATCTGCGTTTGAATGTGATCAGTCTTTTTAGGAGTGTTTGTTTTTTTTTTGTGTAAAAGGGCTAAGTGAGAAGTACTCAAAACGAGAATCAAGAAGTACGAGAATACATGAAAAATATTATGTAAACTGAGGTATGTAAGGATTACGAGAAATCGAGATCCGTTGTCTCTTTCTACCCCTCCGGGAGACTGGAGTGATGCATATTATGTAAAAACCAAATATATTTTTATATTATCTTATTTATTCATAAAGAAAACAAAAAAATCAACTGCCGTTCTGGGAGTAGCAAAAAAAACGTAAGGTTATATTAGAAACATAACGTACAAAAAAATTATAACAGTAAATCACATGAGACATATTGCTTTCTTTTCCATATAGTTACAAATTATCATATGTGTCTTCTTCGTTTCTGAAAGCTTCTTCTATCTGTTCATCGGTCATGTGCGTATCTTCCAAGCTTGGAACAGGTGCCTGTGTCGAACTTGGACCCGGTGTTTGTGTTGAGCTAGGAACCGGTGCCTGTGTTGAGTTAGGACCACCGGCCTGTGTTGATGTAAGAACCGGTGCCTGTGTTGAGCTAGGACCCGGTGTCGAACTTGGACCCGGTGCTGAAGTGTAACCGGGGGAATACCAATTATTTTCATTTGTGTTATACCATGTGTTTTGTAGCTCAAGTTCTTCCAATTCTAAAAGAACGTTGAATATTTTACGTTTAGCCTGAAGCTGCATATATTGAGAAAGTTTTTTTACACTTTTTGATATCGACAGAAAAAAGTGTCCATTTCGTCAAGGGTATTATTTTTCTCTATCAATGATTGTATTTCTAGTTTTTCTTGGCGTATTCTTTCACGGTTTGCATGGTGCTGTATAAGTAAATTACTTATTTAATCCGATTTTCTTGTTGCATTTCTGCATGTCGAAGCTGAGACGCTTGATGTCGGTGACGGCGAATGTTGTACAGATGGACGATCTTCTGAAGTGCTTCTTGTATGATTGCTTGAAGTTTCAAAAAACTCATCGGTTACATTATTTTCCAATGAATTTGTTTCCTGTTCATTTATATTTGTTTGTGAGGTATAATTTGTAGTCCTGTTTCTATTCGTCATATATGGTATCAAAAATTCCATTACCTTCTCATATTTCCATTCACGAATTTGTTTACCACTCTGTCCACTTCTAGTGGCATTCTTCCTTTTTAATGCGTCCCGGTGGCTGTCTCTCAACTTTTTCCACTTAGATTTAGCCGTTTTTACTGAAATAAAAATAATTGAAATCATTATAAATATTAAATGTTGACATTGCCATAGTCAAAATATACTTACCGCATTATCACTCATGCAGAATTAATAACCATTATAAATATTTAAAAAATACCAGAGTTTCAAGGGAAACCAATTTATAAATAAAAATATCTGAAATCAAACATACAAAACGGATTGTATCTCTCGTACGTGGTCGCGGCAGACGGCGGCGTCGAAATTTGAAATGTTAATAAATAACGAGTGATAAATCCATTTTATTTGTTTGATTTCAATGTGTTGTGCTCGTGTGAATCTTAGACTTTTAATTGTTTATTTTCTATTATTTAAAAATGGCTATAACTTTTGAACGAGTGAAAATTCTGTAAATACATAATTTCAGTAATACCTAATCTTTTATAGTTCCGGAAACAACACGACACTGATTAAGATATTATTTTGAAATGACCCTTCTATTTTAACTGAAACCACGACACAAATATAAATCTATATTATAATTATCACAGGTATTTGGCGACTGGTTCAAAATTTTCACAAATAGCTGAAAATTTTAGGATTGGAAAATCGACTGTTCCAAGAATTATAGAAGATGTCTGCGATGCCTTGTGGACAGTATTACAACCTTTGGTTATGCCAGAACTTAATGAAAATGATTGGAAAAAAATTTCAAAGCAATTTGAAGAAATCTGGCAATTCAAAAACTGCGTCGGGGCCATTGATGGCAAGCATGTGTACATGTTTGCACCCCCAAAATCTGGGTCCTCATATTACTGTTATAAACACAGGTTTTCAACTGTAATGATGTGCGTAGCCGACGCTACCCGAAGAATAATTATGGTAGATATAGGTTCAATGGGAAGGTTCAGCGATGGTGGTATTTTTGCTGATAGTATATTCGGAATTCGTTTGAGAGAAAACAGACTAAATCTACCACAGCCACAACCCTTGTACCAAAATGGAGAACCTGTACCGTTTGTTTTTATTGGAGACGAAGCATTCCCTTTGATGCCTAACTTAATGAGACCATATCCACGCGATAATTTAAATAACGAAAAACGAACATACAATTATAGACTTTCAAGAGCTCGTCGTATTGTGGAAGCTACATTTGGTGTATTATCACGGAAATGGTACGTATACCGTAAAGAATTTGAATGTAAAATAGAAACAGTGGAAAAAGTGATAAAAGCAACGTGTGTTCTACACAACTTTTTAATTGACAAGATGCCTGGCTATCTAGATAATAATGAAACGGGTTTGGCCACGACTATGTTTAACGACACAAACGTGGAAAATCTATTATCGAATAACAATATGGATGCCTATCAAGTTCGAGAAAAATTCTGTAGTTATTTCAACAACGAGGGCGCCGTTCCATGGCAAGACACTCGTATTACAATATTACTTGAACGAAATACTTAGTATAATAAATTGCACTTACCGTCAGATAATTGAGTTTCTTTCAAAACGTTCTCCCAAGCTGCATCTTTGACATCAGTAAGTTTATAGGTATCTATTGATGTGTTCCATAGACATGGATATTTTTTTACTGATTCAATAAATTGTTCATCCATTACGTTTTATTTAAATTAACTAATTGTTTACGTTGAAAAATACAAACTGCACGAATTATTCACGATAAAAGCGTGTGCTCGCGTGCACGGTACTAGCAAGATGGCCGGCCGGCGGCGCGCGCGCGGGGTTCTGCGGGTTGCTAGCGGGCGAGAGGGGGGAGGGTGACATCGCTCACTGCACGCCGCTCACATCTCTCGTCTCCACTGCGCGCCGTCTGCGCACAGCTCACATCTCCGCTTCCATCGCGACATACAAATATTACACATCTCCGCACAGCGATCTCCACTGAAGCTGAGCGGAGAGGAGACGTGTCAATAACTCAATTCTATTGGTTGTTTAAAAAACATCTCCTCTCCGCTCGTCTCGTCTCCGCTTTGTTGGAGTCCCGGCCTTATGGTCGCGTTCGAAAACGTTACTAGAGAGTTTAATTTCTGTGTTGTAGTATTATATTATCTGTGTGTTGTGGTGTAATTATTGTCTGATGCTGTTCGACGTTCGATTTGAAGAAAATCAACTTTAAAGGATAAAAAATAAAATAAAAAGTAATAAAAAAAAGAAAATAAATTTTATTGGTATTGAGCATTCACTCCAAATTGTGGTTCAAAAATAAAATTTGAGAGGCTTTTTTCGGCTTTAACGAGCTTCTTTTATTAGTTATTGTCATTCCGGCCTTTGAAAATATCCTCTCACATGGCACTGATGTTGCCTGCAAACATAATCGACGCTTCATTAAAATGTATAAATGTGGATAAAGGAGACGACGCTCATTCCACCACTTTAGCGGATCATCCGTTCTTTTTATAAGTGGTTCGTTTATATATTTGTCTAGTTCCACTATGCTTGCAGCTGTAGGGTATTTTATTATCTCATTTTCCACTTCTTTATCAAATGACGCCCAGATGTTGTCAGAAGTAGAAGGTTGCGGCGGCAGGCTATCTTGAACTAGTAAAGGTGTCGCATCTTCTCGCGCACACAACCCACGAAGTTTTCCTTTGATAGATTTCATGCAGTTATCATATTTTACTTTGTTAGTAAATGCATGCTTTTTAAAGCGGGGGTCGAGAAATGATGCTTCTGCAGCCAAAACGTTACCCTCTACATCAACAAAGCGATCGTTAAGCTGTTTATGAAGAGTTCGAAGTAATTGATCATATTCGTCAGGTTGTGCAGAAGGAGCATTTTCGGCAATGCAATTTTCGACATGTGTTTTCATAATTTTTACCAGCACCAACACTTTCGACAGACCGACTTTTCAGCGCTCATTTCTTCCGTCACATCATAAAATATTTTTAAAACTTTAACGCATTTTTCTATGAGCAGCCAATCATCCGACGTCAAGGTATTAAGACGGGGTTGTTCGATAGCTAGCGTACTTATGACAGCATCTTTAATTTTAAGTAATCTTTGAAGCATGTCATACGTGGAATTCCACCTAGTTACAACGCTCTGTTTGAGTTTCAGCGGAGGTAATTCCATTTGGTTTTGCATAGCCGTCAGTTTGCTCTCAGCTGAAGAGCTATGTTTGAAATATTGTACTATTGCTTTAACCCGATCTAACTGTGTTTTAATATTATTTAAGCTATGTTGAACTACGAGGTTTACTGTGTGAGCGAAACAAGGGAAATGGCGCCAACTTGTTAAGTAAACGGCTGCCACAATATTTGCCGCATTATCTGTTATTATTCCTGTAATTTTATTTGATATGCCCCATGTTTCAACTTCATTTATCAAAAAATTAGATAAGTTTTCTGCCGTGTGCCGTTCGTCAAATTCAATGCAGCCTAATAAAACCGACTTAAGCAACGAATTCTGGTCAATATAGTGAGCTGTCAGCGCAACAAAACTCGCGTTACTTGTAGATGTCCAGCCATCAGTGGTTAAGCATATCGCATCAGCTTCTGTTTTTAACTGTAGTAGAACTTTATCTTTGTTCGTTTGATAAAGTTTAGGTATTAAGCTGGAAGATATAGTTTTGCGAGTAGGTAATGTGTATGTGGGCAACATAGATTTAAAAATATTTTTAAATTCTTCCTCTTCAACTATTGCAAACGCATGATAACCCTTGACTATAAATTTTACAATTTGTTCATCAAGCTTCTTTGATTTGCTAATTGGTAATGGTCAAAATCAATAATTTCACTTTGTCTACGAAGACAAAGTGAAATTATTGATTTTTGACTGAACTTGCAATTGCGTGGTTTGGCGAACGAATGGGGTTGACGCCGGCGGTGCAGTTTCATCACATGGAGAAGGTACTAACTCAGTTAGTGTAGAAGTAGAAGGCACACTATCTGTTCTTATAGCGTTTGATTCTGTACATCTCGGTAGGCCAATCTGTGCTTGGGGATGTTCACTTATAGGTTGCTCAATAGATACAGTCCCATGTAGTTTTTTCATATGCCTAGTTAAATTACCTGTGCCACCACCAGAATAGCTGATTATTTTCGAGCAGTACTCACATTTTGCCTTATCTTTGTTTATTACAGAAAAATGATTCCAAATTTTACTCCTTTTCTTAGTCAGATCTGACATTTTAAGTTATTGAGTAATGACAAAATAAAAAAATAACACGACTTAAACTAAATTTGTACAGTTAAATTAGGTAACCTAATGTTAGTTTCAATTCACATTCACATTCATGCAAAATACATAAACACCAACACCAAACAGTTTCCCTATTTTAATAAGCAAAAGCAATCACTCCCAATATAATGTCTTAAAAACCACTAAAACAAGCAAACAAAACAACACCTGAATATTGCGATCCGATTTTCACATTCGTTACACGACTCGCGGGTCATAAGTTACTAGTGCAACTGATCGGATCTCTTCAAACAAAATTCAAACACGCGATCGATAGCTTGCGGCTCAGCGTCGCGAGCGATCCTGTACAAACCGGTTTCTTTTGGAGAAAGAGTGAGGTGAATGAAAGTGCAATATCATGTATGTAAACGAAAGAGATAGAAGACATTTTGCTTGTTACGTCGTGTTGTGTCATTGACTGCACGACCCAATCGATTGTACGAGCACGCAATTAGTTACCATAATAGTATGAAAATAAAGTCCAATTTGGTTTATTTTGTTACCTGATGATCGAGTCAAATAAGATCGGGTGCTTTTGAGATTCGTGATTCTATCACTCGGACACAGGTTGCGATCGAATCAAAAAGATTCGATCAATCGTGATCGACACAGCTCTAATACCTAGTGTGTGAGCTTTCTAATGGTATGTAATTTGCTTTTATAAAAAAAAAACTTCAAGAGCTATTTCATAATTTTATCAAGTAGGACATTTTTGACGAAATTCTACTTTTACCGGAAAGTGAAATGTTTTGCGAAATTCAATACTGCAAGGTTGGTAAAAATTAAATGGTCGATTCAAATTATGCTGTACCAGTTAGGTGTGTTAAGGAAACAATTAAAAAATGTTAAATAATTTATTTAAATTAAATCACAAATGTTCGAATTGACGCCCTTCATTTGCAATACAGGCGCGGCATCTACGTCTGATTTCTACAGTCGTTGTGCGCAGCAGCATCTCCTGTCGCATAACTTCGATAGCAGTATTAATACGATTTATCAAATTTTCTCTACTTTCTACTTCTGTAGTGTAAACTAGTTCCTTTGCCCTTCCCAACACGTGAAAATCGAGCGGAGTGAGGTCGGGCGATCGCGGAGGCCAGGGGATTGGTCCTCCCCTGCCAATCCACGAATTAGGGAAACAATTATCCAAATGCTCACGCACAATCAGACTAAAGTGAGCTGGACAGCCATGAAAGACAAGAGGCCTGTTTATGTCTACTTGGAACACTTCTTCCACTAATGGTGGTAAATCATTGATCAAAAAATCCAAGTAGTTGTTCCCATTGATGTTTTCGGGCAAATAATGAGGCCCTATTAGCTTATCGCCAATCACTCCTGCCCAGACATTCACACTGAATCTCCTCTGGAAGCCCCTTTGTCTCTTCACGTGTGGGTTTTGATTCTTAAGTTCCCAATGGTGAAGATTGTGATAATTGACAATCCCTTCTTTGTCAAATTTGGACTCGTCCGTCCACAGAATACTTTTTAAAAAGTTTCCGTCGTCCACATCGGTATGCAGCAAATGGCGACAAAATTGCACACGTCTCCCAAAATCACTGTCATCGAGACCTAGAACAAACAAAACACAATGCTAAATAAAAGATTCAGTATTCTGAGTTCAAACTCTACAAATAATTTAATTTAGATATGTACCTATTTGGCTTTATGGCTTGGCCATAAAGACGTAAGACCACATTCACAAAAGGGCATGCGACTTTCCATTTGTTCTTAAAAGGAGCCATAAGCGCTGGCAAGATTACCTACGCTGACCACCGCGCAAACCGAATTCGAAATCCGAATCCTGTAAGCGATAGCCGCCTGATTGTTACGTGAATGCGGCCGAATAGGAATAGTTTATTCGAATTTAATTTGAAATTAGAGTTGAATGCGCTAAAAACAACATGAGGCAAAACAACTAATAAAGAAAGTAACGAAATCAAGGTTAAATGGAACGATCAATTATTGAACTGTCTCATAATTTACTACATTCCACAAAATCGTATCAGATGCAGTACATAAATAGCTTAAAATCTTACCTTGCACTGGAGTGTAGTGAAAAGCATGCCTACCATCTGCCCGGAGAACAGACCACACTTTCCATATGCTTAGGCCAAGCATTGAAGCTATCTGTCTAATGCTTTTGGTAGGGTCCGCGTCAAACTCGGCAAGAACTTGTTCATCAATGGTAGGATCGGGTCGTGCTACGTTCACTCGTGGTTCGTGAAAGTTCAGGTTACCGGTTTGTCGTAAACGTCGGTAAGTACTCGCAAATGTCTGATGACTGGGTACTCGGCGGTTGGGATAGCGCTCTTGATAAATCCTTCGCGCTTCACGCGAATTAGTATTAGCGCTTCCATACGCTAACAACATGTCCGCGTATTCCTCACTGGTAAAAGCAGCCATTTCTTTACCAATAACAACAGGTAACAGTAATAACAAAAAACTTAACTAACAGGTTACAAAACTAGTGATAACAATAAAATAAAACAAAGTGAACAAAAACAAACGTAAGCGTAATGCCTCCTCTACACGTAGACAGATTTGTCTGCAGACGTCCGCAGACGCATCCGCAGATGAATCTCTACGAGCCGTCCACACGTCGCCAGGTCGTTCAGTCTATGTTGGTTCTCGTCAGATGCAACACGTACGCACGCAGAATGGATATAGAGACCGTTGCTGCCGCAGCTATTTATTTATTTAGTACCTACAAGTATTATTTAAGCGTCTATCGCAATAGAGTTATTAAAAAAAAATGGAGAAGAAGAAGGTGGTGGATGCTGACTATACATAGAAACCGAACAAAGTAAGTGGGATTTTTTTATTCATAATATAACTTGTACGCTTTTTAATCGACTTCAAAAAAAGAAGGTTCTCAGTTTGACCTGTATGTTTGTATGTATGTTTGCGGTTTTCATAAAAGGATTTGTTACATTTAGGTAGAGGTTATAGTATATAATACTTCTTAGTTTAATGATGACCTTCGGCAATATACTTGGATATTCTTACGGGTTAGTGTTTTTGAAGTCGGTTCTCTTTTCTAAAAAGTTTTTTTTAACGTAGGTAACGACTTCTTACATTACTCTGTTTCTTCGCAGGAATAGCATGGAAAACCAGTTTGCAGAACTATATGCAGAGCCCTCTGGAGAATTTAATAATTTTGTTCGAATGTCTAGCAGCGATTTTGAATATTTACTACAAAAGATATCTCCAACGATTGCTAAAAAAGATACAGATTGGAGGGATGCCATTCCAGTGAAAGTGCGTTTGGCAGTAACATTAAGATATTTAGCTACTGGTGATAGCTATAGAAGCTTGCATTACCTGTTTAAAATTTCAAGCCAAGTTATATCCATTATTGTTCCTGAAGTATGTTTAGCGCTCAATAACGTGTTAAAGGATTTAGTGAAGGTAAACCACATAATTTAATCCAAAATCTTTATTATTAATTGTATTGTATTGTCTATTTAATGAATAATCAACAGTTTACAAAAAACTTTGCTTTGACAAATAGGTAAGTAGGTACTTTCAGTTTGCTTTGACAAATTAAGGGTGATCGGTGTTATTATCGTCCGTCATATTTAAACAGCTTTCGTAATACATTTTACTTGTTTGTGGTACAAGTACTTCTTGTGAAATAATGTTAACCATTTCGGTTTGTTGATTGGCCATATTTTGTGGTGGTGACTGAACTGAATGGGGGGAGTCTACTACGTATACAGGTGACGGTGTTGATAGATACATGCTGTTGCTCGTGCTAGGTCGACTGAGGATTATTTGTGAAGGAGAAGAAACAGCATATGATCTACCCTGCATCGTGTTGTAACGACGACGTCTGTTCATCATAACACCATGAAGCTCGTACATTATTTCTTCCCTTTCAAGTTTTGGATACTCCCTTATTTGTTTTGCCAACATTTTACAAAATAAATCGCATTCGTCTTCTTCTTTTATGTTTTCTTTGTTAGCCAATGCTTTATTTAATGCTGTAAAAGCAGTACTCATTTTTTTATTGGCTTCTTGCATTTCGGGTGGATCTTTAGCACGACGTTTTTGTGACTGTATAATTGGTTTGTTTTGAGATGTAGTAGGTAGGGATGTCGGCATCATTATGGTCTTCGTTTTTAGCATCCGGAATATTATCACTAACCTGCACGTTAGAAGCGCTATCCTCTTCATACAAATCAGGTTGTGTCTGGGAAAGAAAAAATTCAATAAAAATATATTTAAATAATAATATTACATTAAAGAGCAAACCAGCGTTTTTTTTTTTAAATTGACTATATATTTTTATTTTCAGATACCTAACACTACGGATGAATGGCTTGCAAAGGCAAAAGGATTTAATTTTCCTCATTGTATTGGCGCTTTAGATGGGAAACATGTCATGATTCTACCGCCACCCAATACCGCAACGGAGTACTTCAATTATAAAGGGCATTTCAGTATTGTACTCTTAGCACTAGTTGATAGTGACTACTGCTTTATGTTTGTAGATATAGGTTGCCCAGGGCGAATTAGCGATGGTGGAGTCTATAATCAAAGTGTTTTAAAGCAAAAAATTGACAAAAATGTGATCAACTTGCCTTCTCCTAGTTGCTTACCCAATAGTAATACAAGCTTACCCTATGTATTTTTAGCTGATGCCGCATTTGCATTGAGTACACATATTATGAAACCATTTCCAGGGCATCACGCTCTTGGTACTCCAGAGAGATTATTCAATCAAAAGCTCTCTAGTTCGCGTGTAGCAGTCGAAAATACTTTTGGTATAATGTCTAGCGTATTCAGAATTTTCAAAAAGCCTATACCCTTGAATATCACTAAAGCATCTTTAATTACAATGACATGTGTCTTGTTACACAATTTCTTAAGAAAAAGTAAAACATCTCAACATTTGTACAGTCCCCCAAATTCAGAAGATAAGTATCTCAATGGAGAATTAATCCAACCAGGGTCTTGGAGACAAAATTACACGGGAACATTCGATCCACTGCAACCTATACCTCGAAGAGCGCCTACATGTGCAGTTGAAACGCGATTAAAATTTACCAGATATATTAACGAGAATAACCATTAATTCAAAAGTACCTAGTAATCTAGTAGTATCTAAATACCTATAAATTTAAGATAAGTATATAGAAATGTATGTTGTGTTGGCTACTCAAATAAATAAATAATCCAAAAATAAAGAATGTTTTATTTTTACTTACTTTTTCCTCTGTATTTAGAATACTTGTGGATTCGTAAACATCTGTTAAAAACGCAGCCATCACATCGTAAAATATCCATATGGGCTGATACACATCCTCTGTTCCCGCCCCTGACCGAATGGATGCATTTCTTTTTTTTAAATTCGTTCTAAATGTACTAAGAAGATTATCTTTTTTCTTTTTTAACTCATGCACTGGAATGCCCATCGTATCAGCAATACGTTTCCATGAATCATTAATCTGAAAAAATAAAATAAGTAAGTATAATCATTGTGGTTATATCAATGGGCATAATAACAGGTGGTCAAAATAAGTTGTCGTGTGTCGCGTTAACACGATCAAAATACCCATTCACATAAAACTGTATTATAACTTTGACCGTGTTTCAATGCGGCTTTAATTCGAACTAAAATAACAATTGCCTACCCGTCATAAATCCACATTGTTAATATCTAATAACCAATTTACAGTAAACTCAACTGAATTTGTAAGTAGATAGTTAAATAAAATGAATGAATTGTGTACTTACAACATTTTTATTTTTGTGGTATTTATTTTTGGGATTCCACAGGCAGTTTTCTGCTTGATACAGCTCCAGAAATTTAAATGTTTCCTGAAATGTGATCAACTTGCCTTCTCCTAGTTGCTTACCCAATAGTAATACAAGCTTACCCTATGTATTTTTAGCTGATGCCGCATTTGCATTGAGTACACATATTATGAAACCATTTCCAGGGCATCACGCTCTTGGTACTCCAGAGAGATTATTCAATCAAAAGCTCTCTAGTTCGCGTGTAGCAGTCGAAAATACTTTTGGTATAATGTCTAGCGTATTCAGAATTTTCAAAAAGCCTATACCCTTGAATATCACTAAAGCATCTTTAATTACAATGACATGTGTCTTGTTACACAATTTCTTAAGAAAAAGTAAAACATCTCAACATTTGTACAGTCCCCCAAATTCAGAAGATAAGTATCTCAATGGAGAATTAATCCAACCAGGGTCTTGGAGACAAAATTACACGGGAACATTCGATCCACTGCAACCTATACCTCGAAGAGCGCCTACATGTGCAGTTGAAACGCGATTAAAATTTACCAGATATATTAACGAGAATAACCATTAATTCAAAAGTACCTAGTAATCTAGTAGTATCTAAATACCTATAAATTTAAGATAAGTATATAGAAATGTATGTTGTGTTGGCTACTCAAATAAATAAATAATCCAAAAATAAAGAATGTTTTATTTTTACTTACTTTTTCCTCTGTATTTAGAATACTTGTGGATTCGTAAACATCTGTTAAAAACGCAGCCATCACATCGTAAAATATCCATATGGGCTGATACACATCCTCTGTTCCCGCCCCTGACCGAATGGATGCATTTCTTTTTTTTAAATTCGTTCTAAATGTACTAAGAAGATTATCTTTTTTCTTTTTTAACTCATGCACTGGAATGCCCATCGTATCAGCAATACGTTTCCATGAATCATTAATCTGAAAAAATAAAATAAGTAAGTATAATCATTGTGGTTATATCAATGGGCATAATAACAGGTGGTCAAAATAAGTTGTCGTGTGTCGCGTTAACACGATCAAAATACCCATTCACATAAAACTGTATTATAACTTTGACCGTGTTTCAATGCGGCTTTAATTCGAACTAAAATAACAATTGCCTACCCGTCATAAATCCACATTGTTAATATCTAATAACCAATTTACAGTAAACTCAACTGAATTTGTAAGTAGATAGTTAAATAAAATGAATGAATTGTGTACTTACAACATTTTTATTTTTGTGGTATTTATTTTTGGGATTCCACAGGCAGTTTTCTGCTTGATACAGCTCCAGAAATTTCAATGTTTCCTCTGTGCTCATGTTTGCCATTTCAACAAGCAAGAAAAAAACGGCGGTAGGTAAAAAAGAACGGCGAAAATCACGCGTGCACTCTCACTCGCTTCCCGCTGAACACTGATGCGTCGTCAGACGTGTGGACACACCGCACGCTCGCGCCGGGCGCCCGCGCCAGATCCCTTTGATCCGTGCAACAAAAACCGACAACAAACGGATAAGTGCCGGACGCGTCTGCCGACGTCAAATACCTACCACAGACGAGCAAATCACTCCCTCTACACGTAGGCGGACGCGTCCGCCGATGGTATCGGCGGACGCGTCCGCCGACGTGTAGAGGAGGCATGAGAAAGGCCATTAGCCCTGAAGAAAAGTTGGCGATAACTATAAGGCAAGAAAAACTAATTATATTATTTATTATTCTTATTTATTGGTTATATTTATGATAATTTAGAACATGTTTTTAGAAATTTGATAGATCCAGATAATCACTTAATTGACTTAGAGCTGTAGATAGTGCCGGTGATGCACTTGGATCATCGCGATGGATCAGCGATGTTCCAGGTTGTAGAGGGGTGGGCGTTTCTGCAGACACTTCTGCATTTACTATCGATGAACTTTCAGGAAGAGGCCGAGTATTATTATTATTAGACGTTCCTCCCGGTGATTCTTGAGGCTTAGTATAATAACCACCACTATTATAGTTGTGATGATGTGAATTGTAATAATTTTGATGCCAATTCGAATAGTTTCGTCCAGTTTTAATACTCTGTATTAGGTTAATGACCCCAGATTGGAATTCCAGTATTTGATCATCATCAAAATGCCGAAGGGATGGCAGAACCCCCTTAAAAAAATTCATGTTACGGTCATCACTTCCAATTGTGTTTAATTGATGATCAACAAGTTTCATCATTTTATCATCCAATACGCTGCCACTATCCATTCTTTTCTTTTTTGATAATGATTCTAAGTGTTTCTCTTTCTGATTTTCTTGTTGATCTGCATTTTCTCTTTAGGCTTCATCTCTTGTATTTGGATTATTGTCATATGTTTCACCTGGCTTAATAATTGGCTTCAAAAAGCTCATCTCTTGATTATATTTGTAGGGCTTAGATTTTGTACCAGACCCAGATTTTTTTGTTTCTTTGTTTTCATCTAATGATTTCCTCCAACTGTCTCTCAATTGTGTCCACCTTTTCATCACTGAACTTCCTGAAACAATAATTCATAAAACTGTATGAACGGTTTCATAAGAAGATTTTTATTTACATCGCATTATTCCCAATATTACAAAACAACCACAGATGAATATATATATACTAGAAAACAACTGTAATAATAAGGACACGGTTTCGAAACACGTCACGACAAGACGAGCGGTCTGTTGTCGGGCGAATATCTATTCACAAACGCCGTTCGCTGTCCGTCTGTGTATTTATGAATTATTATACATAAATAAAATATACAGGGACCTGGTCTGTGGTTGTTTTGTACGGGCTACGCCCCATACGTTTTATAACGGTTTTTGCTTTCGTAAAAAGAGGCTGCTTAGTAAGCTGAATTTGTATAATGAAGAAGCGCTTGAAGAAGTTGTATTTTCATTTAGACTAATCTATCCCACTAGGCAGCCAGTCAAACATATGAAATCGTTTGGGTGCCTAGTGGGAACGCTTATTCTGAATGAAAATACGACTTCTTCATCCCACTAATTTCGTTTTAATGAAATATTTTTTTAGGTATTTGGCGTCAGGACTTTCCTATGAAGATCTTCATTTTAGTTATCGAATTGGCAAGGCCTATAACGCACTAGCGGCCTGCCGCGATGCGGTATGCCGATGCGGCAGGCCGCAGTATATACGATCAGCCGTAACGGCACGCCGTATTCCGGCTAACCGTATGGTCTTGGCTCACTGCGGTCTGCCGCAATCGTCAGTGCTTCTAGAAATATTGCACATGATGGACGTTGAGGAAGTTGCGGCAGTCATTTATTTATATCATCGTAGAAAATATCGTCAAAAAAATAAACATAGATTTTGGATACATCCTCTATTGGTGACACGACATGACGGCAAAGAGTTTAATATTTTTATTTCAAACCTAAAGAAATTTGAATATAAGTTCTTTGGATACACTAGGATGTCAGTAAAATCGTATGAAGAATTATTAACAAAACTATATTTAAATATTCGTGGCCAGGATACACGATTTCGGATGTCTATATCCCCGGAAGAAAAGCTCATTATAACCATCAGGTAAGAAAACAATATATTAAGTTGAATCACATTTATTTAAGGCACATAGAAATAGAATCACATTAACAAAAAATCTACGGTGAATTAAACAATTCAGACATCAACGAAGCGTCGTCTTGGCTAGCAGATTCCTGAGTTGCCTCTTCAGTTGTATCCATTGAGTGCGTGGATGTACCTGGTAGATTTTGACGGTGTTGGTAACCTGTAGTTGTGGGTTCTCTATTATTGAGTCTACTCTCATACCCTCGGTCAGTGTAGTCACTATCAAGTGTTTGATATCCTCTTCCAGCATATTCACTTTCATACATATGGTTTCGATACCCTCGATCAAATTGCGTATTAGGATAACTATAATGAAATGATGGTTGTTGAGCATTTCTAATAGCTCTTATGATTTCACATCTCGCTTCCAATTTATTGGAATCTGGAATTTTTTTGAACTCCCTTAAAAGGGATAACAAAAACAACTTGTCTTCGTCATTTTCCATTTCTTTTTTATACTCCAAGTTTTTGTTCAATACTGATACCAATTGTTGTCCAATAACGTCTTCATTATTACTTTTTTTCTTTTTTTTCTCATTAGCTACATTCTGTGATGTTTCATATGGGCCATCATGGTCTTGGGAAAGATTGTTGGCAATGTCTGACTCTGTCTCATTTACCATAGTAGAGTCCTTTAAGAATAATAAAATATTATAATAGGTATATGGGCTTTTATGTTTGGCACCTGAACCGCTTTTCATGTTTTTCATATTTTTCGAAGCTTTTACAAAACTATCTTTAATATTCCGCCATTTTTTCATAAGTACTTTACCTGTAACAATAACCATTTAAATTAATAATAAATAATTATGTTTTTAGATATTTGGCAACCGGATGTACATTCGCTGAACTACATTACATATTTCGAATTGGTGCGAGTACAATAGCTGAATTTGTTCGTGAAGTATGTTCGGCAATATGGTTACTGTTAAAAGAATCTTGTTTACCGAAGCCATCTCAACAAGGATGGCTAGATATTGCAAAGGGTTTCTTTAAAAGAGCTTATTTTCCGAATTGCATTGGGGCCATAGATGGGAAACACATACAGGTAATAAAGCCATGCCATAGTGGATCCATGTACTACAATTATAAGCAGTTCTTTTCCATTATACTGATGGCTATATGCGACAGCCACTACAAATTCATAACAATAGATGTCGGTGCTTGTGGCAAATTTGGAGCAGCAGTTTATCAACACTCTAACTTTTACAAAAAAATGATAGCAGGAGAACTTGAGATACCAGAATCAACACCCATATCACAAGTAAATACTATTCCAATGCCATATGTTTTAGTAGGCGATGAAGCCTTTCCCTTATCCACGAACTTAATGCGACCTTATGCAAAAAATACTAATTTAAACACTACTAAGAGAATATATAATTATCGGCATTGTAGAGCACGGCGATATGTCGAATGTTCGTTTGGAATACTGAGCAATAAGTGGCGTATATTCCATAGACCTTTAAATGTGGATATTAGTTTGGCTACTGATATCATCAAAGCATGTTGCATTTTGCATAACTACGTTCGAGACAGAGACGGTTATAACTATGAAGATACTTTAACATGTTACATGCCGCCTGATGTACCAGAAACTCAGAGAACATATAATAATCGAATAGGTAATAATATCGCTGAAAGAATTCGTGACTCTTTCGCTCAGTATTTTGAACATGAAGGTAAATTGGAATGGCAAGATAAATATATATAAGTAAATGTAATGGCATTAATCCGCAAAATCGCAGGAAATTGGGAATAAAAAGTAGGTATGATGATTGTAACATTGTAACCATGATTAATAAATAACGTAACTTACCGAGTTCTTTCTTTTCTTCCGACGTATCATCTTCCTTTGCATATATATTAATCATTTCCTCCCAACATTTTAACTTTTTATTTCTGTCTGCATAATCAGCGCATTTGCTATCCCATATTGCGGGGCGTTCTTTTATTTCTAAAATGAACTTTTCTGTATCAAAATCCATGATGCGCACGAGTAGTGTCTAGCGCGTGAAACAAGCGACGACGGACTGGCGGGCGGGACGCGGCGTTTGCGACTACCGCGCCGAGTGCGTGGTGGGGATGCGGCGCGCCGCATCATTCAACCGGCGCGGCTCGTCGCAGCTCCGGAACAACCGGAGCGGTTGACGGCTGGCCGCGAATCAGTGCGTCGTTATCGTGCGGTTTCATGTACTAATCGATGTGCGGCCTACCGCAACGGCACGTCGCATGGCGGCCAACCGCTAGTGCGTTATAGGCCTTAAGGTAGACTCGACTTTTCAGGTATCCCCATAAGAAAAAATCGCATGGTGTAAGATCCGGTAAAGTCACATTTGACGTGTGGCATGTTGCTCCATCTTGTTGCATCCAGGTCCTGCTGTTATATCCTTGAAATTCATGCGACTGCGGCGTCAAAAACTCTCGCAACATCTTGACGTATACCGCTGAATTCACAGTTACATTATCTCCTTGATTATTTTCAAAGAAATACGGACCAATTATGCCCTTTGCTGATATGGCAGCCCATACTGTCGTTTTAGGTGAATGAAGTGGCTATTGGTGTTTAAGGCGAGGGTTTTCCCTGCTCCAATATCGACAATTGTGCTTATTCACGTGCCCGTTGATGTGAAAGTGGGCCTCGTCCGTAAAGAATACATTCTCCAGGCTAGAGAATTGCTCCAGCATTGTGTCAGCCAATAACTTACGTTGAATGTAATCATTTGGTTTCATCTCCTGCACAATTTGAAGCTTATACGGGTGCAGTTTGAGGTCTAGATGCAAAATCCGCCGTAGACTGGTTCTCGGTAATGCCAGAACCGCCGAACGCTTGACGGCTGGCCGCAAATCAGTGCGTCGTTATCGTGCGGTTTCATGTACTAATCGATGTGCGGCCTACCGCAACGGCACGCCGCATGGCGGCCAACCGCTAGTGCGTTATAGGCCCAAATCAACCATTTTCACCATCGTAGTAGAAGTGACGCAAAGTATATGGAATAATTTATATAAAGAATTTATGCCACTTCCTAATAAGGAAGAAGAGTGGTTAAAGATAGCAAGTGGATTTAATGAAAAGGCCAATTTCCCTCACTGCCTTGGAGCAGTTGACGGGAAGCATATTAGGCTTCGAAAGCCATCAAATAGTGGTTCAGTATATATGAACTACAAAGATTTCTTTTCAATAGTGTTATTAGCAGTCGTAGATTCAGATTATCGATTCGTTTACGTCAGTGTAGGTTCCTATGGAAAAGAATGCGGCTCATCAATATTTAAAGAGTCAAGTTTTTGGAAAATGTTGTCAGAAGGCCGTTTGAATATACCCGAACCAAGGCCTTTATTTACAGAATCAGAAGTTCAAGTTCCTTACGTAATTATTGGCGACGAGGGATTTGGTTTACACACACATTTATTAAAACCTTTTGGTGGAACGCATCTTGACAGAGGTAAACGAATATTTAATTATCGTTTAACCAGAGCGAGAAGATACGTTGAATGTGCGTTTGGCATTCTAGCAAATAAGTGGAGAATTTTACATAGACCCATAGACCTTAAACGAGAAACAGCTATTTCAGTAGTGAAAGCTTGTACTGTCCTCCACAATTTGATTATAAAAAAGGAGGGAATTGAATTAGAAAAAGAATTTAATTTTGAAAATTTACTACCCCAGGAAGTATCACCGAGTGTCGGAACTGGCAATTCAATGAGAAATGAATTTATGACCTACTTTCTATCAGAAACTGGATCAGTACCATGGCAAAACAACAAAATATAGGCAGTATAGATTTGTATTTAAAATTTTCTCAATAAAAACTTACCAAACAACTGTCGGTCCTTTTGATCCATTTCTTCAAAATCTTCTTTCAAAATTATGCATATTTCCCGCCATGCTGCTGTTTTAGCGGTTTTGTCCTTATAAATTTCCAAAAATTTATTCCATAAAACTGGCCTGTCTTTGATTGCAAAACTTCGCGATTTATTTGTTGGTCATACAATTTTTCTTTTTCTTTTTTCGACATGATTTTCTTGAAGCGCAGCGCTACACGTCTTAACAAGTCAAAGGAATGTACTGAATTGAGCGGGCGCGCGGCGGGTGGGGCAGACAGGCGGGCGGAGCAGGCAGGCGCGCGGGGCGCGCGAGCGCCAATCACGATTCGAGATTTTTAACGAATCGTCATTCTAATGACCGTAGTGACCGACGTATCCGAAATATCACGAATCGTCTTTTTTCACGATTCGTGAAGCGTGTGAACATGGGTATATAAAAAGCATTGCTCCCGTCAAAAAAAATCGTGATTTACAACGAATCGTGAAAAAACACGATTCGTGAAAAATCACGATTTGTCTTCGTGTGAATGAGCTCTAAAATCTCATTTTCTATACGTGATAGAAATAAATTATTATTTTTATGATATTAGGTGAATGATTATCTACAAAATATGATATGTATTTCCCCCGGGAAATTTTGACTGTAAACTAGTGTAATTAAACTGTCAAACACCAAGCGGTCACCGGTGACCGCAACCTATTGTTCTATAATTGTGTCTACAAAACCGGTACTCGACGAGTTAATTACAAAGATACTGGGTTTTCAAAATAGATTACTTACCTACATTTTAGTATAGGCAACTAGTAAAAGAATTTTAGCCCGTCTATCATCGAAGTGTTCGTGATTTGAAAAATATGAATTTAATTTTATATTATTAATTATTATACTTTAAATTATTTACCTGCTTTTTTATTCTCAGCAATGTGCTGTTGTGCTGTTTCGATATTCCAGTGGCAGCGCAGGTTCTATTTATGGGCTGATTCACTGGGATTAAAAACTTCTTGTTGATTTTAAGATGCTCTTTATTTTCTTGAGCACTTTTAGTCGGGTCTACGGGAATCAAAGAATTGCTGACTTCCTTCTCGCGTTCAAAAAAAGCCAATACCTTAAGTATTAAGGCTCTTTCTTTGCTATGGATAGTTTTACCCATATTTTTAACAAAAAACAATCAGGTCTCCAAACGTAACAAAAAATTTAACAACAGTAACAAATAAAAAGTCCAAACGTAACAAAAATCCAACAATTAATAGCTTCCGAAACGCAAACTGAACGACACGTGCACCGATAACAGATATGCTAACGCTACTGAACGCGCACGGCGAGAGCGGGGCCCGGCGCGGGGAGGTGGGAGGGTGGTCGAGTTTCGAGCCAGGTGTCAAGTTCAAATTCGCCCGGCTTGTAGATAATCAATAAAATTATCAAAAATAAAACGTAAACTTTGAGATCGTTGATAGATAAATCACATTAATATGTTAAACTAGAAAGAAGTAGATAAATCTAATGAAATAAATATTTAGAATTAGTCCTGACTGCACCGAGTGCAAATTAATTTATCAGTGTCTTCTTTTGTTAGACCAACACAGTCTTCATGGACGTATGTTTGACATAAAAAGCATATTCTCATATCTGCTATTCAATCCTCATCGCAAACGTAACAATACCAAGAGTTTTTAGATTTTTTAGTATGTCCTTTGCCTTTTTGATTAACCTTAGAAGTGACTGCTTCAGTCTTGTTCATTTTAGTAGAATATTGTTTTCTTTTTTGAGAAGACGCTCTAGTTGGACCTGGCTTATTTTCAATTTTTCGTTTACTTGCATTGGATGGTCCTGGCTTATTATTTTTCTCTGTAAACGTTGATTTTGTTAGCTCCTGTGCCAGACTAAGCTTTTGCTCTAGTTTTAGTTTTTGGACTTGACGTCTTCTCCGGGGTTTTTAAAATTTCACAAAAAGATGAATATGACTCATTAAGTGTAGTGGAGCAGACTTTTGATTCAGTTTTCGAGTCGCTATTATTCTTGTGCTGTTTTAACTTGAATAAAGGAATCTCTTCGCTACTATCGAAATTATCATAAACTCTGAAATCATCATAAACTCTATCTACTTGAGTTGGGTGGTTTGAATTATTATTAGAACGATTTGCAGTGTTTGGCAATAGATGTCCACGTGTCTGGGAATCTTTTTGATCTGGATGCAGTATAGGCACCGGGTTTTCAACAGAGAAGAAATGATTTCCACTGACATCAAAAGGGGTGCTGCCATTGGGATTATCATTTACATGAGCAGGAATGACCAGATTTTTGCCAGCAACAGCATCATTGCTTTCAGTATGATCGTCATTTCTTTGAGGAGGAATTAAAATACTTTCGCTAGAATTAGTAGCATCGCTGTCAGAAGAATCTTCATTTCCACGAGAAGGAATCAACACATTTTCGCTAGTAATACTATCGCTATCATTGGGATCATTATTTTCTTGATTTTGAGAAGGGCCAGGTATTGTGGAATCAAAGGTAGGTATGCTAGGAGCGTATGCCTCTTCGGGTATCCTTTCTGGATTAAATGGGAAAATTCCGGTGGCTTCAAATCCAGATTTGATATTAGCAGGTGTTGCAGCTTTATCCCACGCCTTGGAAAATAAAGGTACGATTCCACCAAAAAAGTGTGCAGCACATTTGCTTGCAAACATTTTGTGCAAAACTCCAGCAGTGCAGGTACTAAGCTGGTGTTGCATTTGGCTTCCGTCTCCACTGGTAAGGCTGTGCGTAACTTTTGTAAGCGCACAGTTCAGCACACTTGCGCGCGAACATGTTCACTGAGCAGAGTTTCTGCCGAAGACAGTTCAGTAGTTAATATGAACGGGCAGGAAAACGTAGTGCTTTGTGCTGCAGCTTGTGTTTTACTATGTAGTCTACTTAAAAAGAAACGAAGGAAGAAACCGCGATGTTGGGTGAGGCCTTTACTACAGCGACGGAATGAAGAAACGAATAAATTTCTAGAAGAAATAAAAATAGATCCATTGAGTGGATTTAAAAACTTCACACGTATATCTTGCCAAGATTTTGAGTTGCTGGTTAATGCAACTAGTCCTTTTATTGCTAAGCAAGATACCAACTACAGAAAATGTGTCCCTGTTTCAATAAGGCTTGCAATCACCTTAAGATATCTTGCTACTGGAGATTCTTTTGCAAGTTTAATGTTCTTATTTAAAGTTTCAAAAGAACTTATTGCTCGGATTGTACCTGAGACTTGTAAGGCGTTGATAAGCGTGTTGAAAGAAAATATTAAGGTAAGAAAATAAAAATAATATACCATTTCATTTTAGTCACTTTTATTGCATTACATTTCATGCCAAGATATTGTTTCATCATTATGACGTAAAAGATCTGAATAATCATTATCGTGGACCTGAAAACTTGAAGCCGGTCCTTGACTCTGAGAATTTGACGAATTTGAATACGGTGAAGGCATTGGAGTTGTAACATAATTTCCAGTACCAATAATAGCGTCATACAATAAATTATCTATATCCCTTTGTACTAAAATCTTGGTTCGCTCATCTCTAATTTTTCTTAATTTCGTTGCGACGGCTGCAGCAAAAATGTCTTCGTCATCAGGTTTTTATGCTTCCATCTGCTTGTTTACGTTATTCATAATGGACAAAGCTTGGGCGATTCTCGGGTCTTCATCGACAATACGGCGTTTAAGCGAGTTCTTCGGAGCCTTAAACTTTTCGACTGGCCTTTCATGAAGAGACTCTTGATCTTCATTTACTGTGTCATTCTGGATAATAATATCTTGTGATACCTGAAAGAGTAATAAAATTTCCTTTTTCAGATGCCTAACACTTCAGAAGAATGGATGATCTTAGAGCGCCAATTTGACCATCTTTGGAATTTCCCTCATTGCATTGGGGCTATGGATGGCAAACACGTTGTTATTCAAGCTCCAAGTAATACTGGAAGCGACTTTTTCAATTACAAAGGTGATTTCAGCATTGTGCTTTTAGCACAGGTTGATGCAAATTATAAGTTTACGTACGTAGATGTCGGTTGTAAAGGAAGAATATCGGATGGTGGTGTTTTCAAAAATACTGGTTTCTATGCTAATCTTCAGCAAGGAAAATTAAATTTGCCTGAACCTTACCCGTTACCCGGAAGGAACAACCCAATTCCACATGTCATTGTGGCAGATGATGCTTTTGCGTTAGATATAAATTTAATGAAACCATATCCCGGTCAACATGACAAAAGATCAAAAGAGAGAATATTTAATTATCGGTTTAGCAGAGCGAGACGCATTGTGGAAAACGTATTCGGCATTATGTCCGGTGTATTTCGCGTACTCAGGAAACCTATTCTGTTAGCTCCAGAAAAGACACAATTGATAACACTGACATGTTGTTACTTGCATAATTTTTTGATAACACAAAAATCGTCTTCACAACTTTATACTTCTGCTGGCTGTTTTGATACTGAGAACCAAATTACTCATTGCACTATCGATGGAAGTTGGCGGCGCGATGCAGGCATGGCAAACTTATTGCCTTTAAGACATGTTGGAAGAAGACCCCCTGGCGATGCGAAAAACATAAGAGAAGAATTTGCACATTATTTCCAAACTGACATCGGAATGGTGCCATGGCAAGAAACACTGGCGTAAATAGTATAAGTATCTAAGTAATAATATTAGAGGTAAGAAAATAAACATTTAAAACGTACCTACCTGTTCATTTATTTCGTCGTGTGAGTTCAAGCTGACATTCGGCTCCTCCCTTCCATGAAAAAAATTCAAATATGCATAAGCAAACCATTTCGGCAGGGTGTCCAAGAACCTGGCGTCCAACTGGATTCCCACGATGCCCCAAGTTCTAACAGTACTCAGAAAAATATTTTAAAAAATCCACCCCATGTACTTACAGAATTATACTGATTTCAAAAAAAAAGGGGATATGAGTACCCTGTGACATACTTTTGAATGCTGTGACTGCTAATGCTGATAATTTCGATATTTCTTGGAGGTTTTGTAATCTAGGGTATTGCTGTGTCTAAATAGAATGTAAAGATAAAGTACTTATTGTACCATTTTAAAATAAAATATTATTTTAACTAAAAGTGATATGGAAAACTATTGAATTTCGCAACTTTGACCGACTGTAGTGTAAAAAAAATGTACCAAAATAGTATGGCAAGTGACGTCAAATTTTGACGCGTTTATTCCTCTTTTTAAAAAGGTATAATACTTACACATTAATTTGAAAAAAAAAATTTTTGATAATATTTTTACTCAACAACCCAATTTTTACGAAGTGCCTACCTACTAACGGTAACTGTCGGACCCTTTCTTATCTTAGAAACTGTTATGTTACTACTATTATTTACTTCGGTTCCAAGAGTGAGCAAGAAGGAAATACACACAGGTAGATGGGTTCCCAGTAGAATAAAAGCAAAGAATGTTAGTTTAAAGATATTTTATTACAATAAATGTTCAAAATGTTGACCACCCGCGGCAATACAAGCTCTCACTCTCCTTAAAAAGGACCGCTTTATGTTTCGCGAGTAACTTTTTTGACGTATCACCTGCACTGCTTGTGTTATCTTCTCACGAAGGTCAGCGATGTCATTAATGGGCTTCGCATAAACGAGCTCCTTCATAGTTCCCCAGAAAAAAAAATCCAGCGGATTTAAGTCAGGTGAGCGGGCTGGCCACGGGATTGTTCCTGATCGCCCAATCCACCTGTTCGGGTATTGCTCGTCCAAAAACTCTCTAACGGATACGCGAAAATGTGCTGGACAGCCGTCGTGTTGGAACCACATATCTGGTGGGGTCTCTTCTAGTAAGTTTGGCAAATCATTTTGAAGAAAATTTAAATATGATTCGCCAGTCAAATTCTCGGGCATCTCAAATGGACCAATAATATTCCCACAGAGAATACCGGTCCACATGTTCACTTTGAACCGGTACTGGGATCTATCTTCTCGCATCAAGTGCGGATTTTCCACATGCCACTCGTGCAAGTTGTGTAGGTTCATGTAGCCATCCTTCTTAAATGTTGATTCATCTGACCACAAAATTTTGTCGATAAAGTTTTCGTCTTCTCGATGTTTTTGCAGGATTGTTTCACAAAACGCGACTCGGCTCGGATAGTCTCGAGGTAAAAGACTTTGCACTCGCTGTACGTGGTACGGATGATATTCTTCTTTTTGGAGAATACTGTGTGCTGTGCTCTTCGGTATCCCCGTATCAGCTTCTATTCCTCGCACAGAGATGCTTGGATTTGCCGACACCGCCTCTAAAACTTCATCGCGTATGAAGTCATTTACGGGTCGTCCTTCACCAGCTACTTGATTGGGGAACCGCCCGTCACATAGTGATCTGTGCACATTAATGAAAACTCGATGGTCGGGATATCGCGTAGCCCTCGGATACCTTTCACTGTAAAGTCTCGCTGCAGCTCGTCCATTACCTCTACATTCTCCATAAATGTAGTGCATATTTGCGTATTCTTGCGGAATGTAGGTCGCCATGGTAGCACACACAAAACACAAACTGTCCAAACACAGGCAAAGGTCGTCGTAAAGAGTTCGTTTCAAAGTCCAGAGCACAAAGAGTAATCGAGTCCAATAAACAAAGCTTTAAATCGTAGTACGTGATCAATGGTAACAATAAGGGTGTTACCAGACCAATCGATCGATCGTCGATCGACGGCATCGATCGAAGTTGATCGACTGGTCTAGTAACTTTAATTGATCGACAGATACTGTTCGACAAACCAATCGATCGATTGCCGGTCGATGGCATCGTTCAACGTCGATCGATGTTGATCGACTGGTCTGGTAACTTTAATTGATCGACAGATACTGTTCGACTACTGGCACCGGTCGACGTTGATCGATGAACTCCGGCAATATTCCATCAGTTTCTTTCAAAATGTATTCACAAGAGGACGCGTTGTTGTTGGCAAGTACGATGTTGCTCGTACTATTATTACGGAGACGCAAACGCAGAAGACTCTGGATGCGACCATTTTTTAAAGCCAAAGATCGCCTATCTTATCCAAATGACATTTTAAATAGCGGTTTCTTGGATGCTTTTCGAATGAGTAACAGTGATATTGAAAATCTCTTAAATATGGTGACTCCTTTAATTGCAAAATTGGATACTAATTACAGACAGTCAATTTCCCCTAAGAATCGGTTACTTATAACACTCAGATTTCTAGCCAGTGGTGATTCATATCAAAGTTTAGTGCTAACGTTTAAAATTTCACAACAAAGTATTTCTTATATAATTCCAGAAGTGTGCAATGCGCTCATATGTTCTCTCAGGGATTACATAAAAGTAAGTTTCTTGGACATGTAATCGTAAGTTAAGTTATATATAAGGTAAGTGAAGTTGTAAAGGTATCGAAGAAATTAAAAATATAAGACATACATAGTATTTCAGGTTTATTATAATTTTTTCAGAGAAACAGTAATCATATAAACATATCGTTTAATTTTCTTGCAATTCAGATGAGACATCTTCTAAATTATCCAACGACTCTACTGTTATACTATTTTCACTTGTGGATGGAAGATTGATATTATCCAGCGAAAAGCTATATCCAGTTAAATCTCTTGCGTATTGAGAAGTGGGTGGAAGGTTGGATTGATTCGAAGATTGTGCATTTGTAGAATACTGCGTGGTGTAGTAGCCTTGATTTTGAGTTTGTGGATGGTCATATTTGCCAAGTTGAGCTTCGTAAATTAGGTTATTTATATGATGCTGTACGGTAATACGGGCGTAGTCCGTTTTTAGTGTCCTCAATTTAAATGCTATTTGTTCTCCAAACAATGTATACTCATCAACATCTCTTTTATTGCGAATCAAAGAATCAACCATCTCCAACGTTTTTTCTATTGCGGCATCATTTGGATTGAGGCGGCTTTTACGACTGCCTTCACTATCAACGGAACTGTCCATCCCTGACTCAGATGCTTGTGAATTTATCTGAAACAAAATTATATATGTACATATATTTTAAATAGGTATAATTTAAAAAATATATGAACTGACTGATAGCTCATATTCAATATATTTACGTTGTATATATTTATTTTACAGATGCCAAACACGGAAGAAGGATGGCTCAACATTGCAAAAGATTTTGACCTGCTGTGGAATTTTCCCCACTGCCTGGGTGCAATAGATGGGAAGCATATAATTATGCGAGCTCCAACTAACAGTGGGAGCTACAAGGGAGTTCACAGTATTGTCCTAATGGCTGTAGTGGATGCGAATTACAATTTTATGTACTGCGATATTGGATGCCAAGGTCGTATTTCTGACGGTGGTGTGTTTGGTAATACTATTTTGAATTCCATGAATCTATGAGGAATCCCAAAAGAAAGTGAATTGCCTGGAAGAAGTTGTCTTACACCATATGTTTTTATAGGTGACAATGCCTTTCCTCTTTCTGAAAATTTAATGAAGCCGTTTCCCGAATTAGGGCGAAAAGGATCAAAGGTGCGAATTTTTAATTATAGGTTGAGTAGGGCTCGCCGTATGGTAGAAAGCACGTTCGGCATTTTAAGTGCAGTATTTCGCTGTCTTCGAAGGCCTTTTCATCTTCAGCCGAAAAATGTGGAAAACATAGTGTTAGCTACGACTTATCTTCACAACTATTTAAGAAGAAATTGTGAGAGTTATAGGTCTTTACAGTTGCGTTATTCAAGTAACATAAATCAGAGTGCAGATTCCGAAATAACACAGCCGCCAGAAATTCAGTCATCTGTACTATTCTACAGCATACCAACTCCAGCTGAACTAGTGAGAGAAGAGTTCGCTGAATATTTTTGTTCTAACGGTGGTATGATTGCATGGCAACATTGAAAACAATATCTTATACATATAGTCCAATCACTTTAATTGTAACCTTTACATTAACTGAACACAAATACCTAACAAAAAAGAAAACTAAAGAAAAGTGAAATTAATTTTAACGTGTCGCTCGCATTATGTTTTAGTATATTTAGGAGCCAGAGGGAGAGGAGGAATCTCTGATGGATTTTGAGGAGTCTTCGTAGGAGAAGGGGGAAGTGGAATCTTTGATTGAATTGGAGAAGTCATAGGAAAGGGGGTACTTGATGGTTGAGAAGGTAGTGGTGAGGGTGGCATCGGATCGGTGTAAGATGAAGTGTGAATGCTAGGAAGTGGGCTAATAGGTGGTTGAGGAGGTAACGGTGAGGGAGACGTCGGATCGGTGTAAGATGAAGTGTGAATGCTAGGAAGTGGGCTAATAGGTGGTTGAGGAGGTAACGGTGAGGGAGACGTCGGATCGGTGTAAGATGAAGTGTGAATGCTAGGAAGTGGGCTAATAGGTGGTTGAGGAGGTAACGGTGAGGGAGACGTCGGATCGGTGTAAGATGAAGTGTGAATGCTAGGAAGTGGGCTAATAGGTGGTTGAGGAGGTAACGGTGAGGGAGACGTCGGATCGGTGTAAGATGAAGTGTGAATGCTAGGAAGTGGGCTAATAGGTGGTTGAGGAGGTAACGGTGAGGGAGACGTCGGATCGGTGTAAGATGAAGTGTGAATGCTAGGAAGTGGGCTAATAGGTGGTTGAGGAGGTAACGGTGAGGGAGACGTCGGATCGGTGTAAGATGAAGTGTGAGTGCTAGGAAGTGGGCTAATAGGTGGTTGAGGAGGTAACGGTGAGGGAGACGTCGGATCGGTGTAAGATGAAGTGTGAATGCTAGGAAGTGGGCTAATAGGTGGTTGAGGAGGTAACGGTGAGGGAGACGTCGGATCGGTGTAAGATGAAGTGTGAGTGCTAGGAAGTGGGCTAATAGGTGGTTGAGGAGGTAACGGTGAGGGAGACGTCGGATCGGTGTAAGATGAAGTGTGAATGCTAGGAAGTGGGCTAATAGGTGGTTGAGGAGGTAACGGTGAGGGAGACGTCGGATCGGTGTAAGATGAAGTGTGAGTGCTAGGAAGTGGGCTAATAGGTGGTTGAGGAGGTAACGGTGAGGGAGACGTCGGATCGGTGTAAGATGAAGTGTGAATGCTAGGAAGTGGGCTAATAGGTGGTTGAGGAGGTAACGGTGAGGGAGACGTCGGATCGGTGTAAGATGAAGTGTGAGTGCTAGGAAGTGGGCTAATAGGTGGTTGAGGAGGTAACG